CCAACATACCACAAGTAAGTGTGTCTGTGTGTGTTCCCTAGGCCTGTGTTGACAGGGAATAATGCTACTGGAACACTCCCACTTGGAGTTTACTAAGGGCTTCCTCCAGCAGCAGAAAGCTCCTCTTAATCTATTGCTAAATCATACCTGTGCAAAGTAGGTGCTTGAGGGTTTCTGAGTTGCCAGTCCAGCGAGCAGGGGGATGGTTGAAGTTCTTGCATGGTTGTATTTGTTTCCAGCCACGTAACTTTGACCCCATGTCTGATGCACAGATTTTTAATGATGTTCTTCCTGCAAAAAAAAAAGCAGCAATGAAGGGACAATGAAAGGACACAGTCCTGTCAGAGAACATTGGAGTATTCCTGACAGGACTTCTCTCCCTTTTCCTCACCATAACTTTGCTGTAACAAAGTATATTTCCGTTTGAAAGTCCACAGCTAGAAAAAGAGTGGGATACCACATGGTTCAAATGCTCCTTTCCTGTGGGATCCTTTGGGAATGTGACAAGTTCAGTATTTCTATTCTGACTGATGCCAGTCAGGCCTCACCCATTTTCTGCAACGCCTGCAGTGAGCTTCTCTGGGGTAGGCACAGCTATTTTTTTTAACAGATTAATAAAGAAATCCATTTCCTCCTTCTCTCTTCCTCCTGCCTGGGGCAGGGAGAGCCTGCAGAAGTTCCCCCAGCTGGCAGCCATCCACCACAACAACTGCATGTACCTCGCCCACCACCTGCTCACCCTGGGCCACCAGTTCCGCTACCGCACCACCAACATCCTGAGCAACGGGGCAGCCTCCTTCGTGGACCTGGTGCCTGCCTTCAGGAGACTGGGTAACACCTTCCTGGCCCAAAACACACGCCTGGGGCACGTGGCAGTTAACCCTGGCAGCTGGGGCTGGGTGGTTTGATGGAGGAGTGGCTGCTGACTCCCTGGGAGCAGGGCATCATTATTATTTGTGGCAACAATTTTCCAAACTGGGAAGTCTTGGCTCTTTGGAACCCAGCTCTTGTCCAGCACATAGTTCCACAAACTGTGTGTATTCCAGCACAATGTTGTAGCACTATGTTTTGGGATCTGCTGCTCAGTCCTTTAATGTTTTCTTCAGTTTATCCTGTGGAAACAAATTCAGAGATAAGTTTGTGTCAGCTAACAGGAGTCATCCACACTTAATTCTGCTACTCTGCTCTTTTTCAGAATTGTTGTAGCAATGCAAGCTGCACAAAAGCTTACTGGTTAAATTGGCTCCGAGACTGTTTAGAGACTGGAAATTCAATTAAAAATAAAACACTATAGCAAGTTCATTATTCAGCAATTATAGTCATAAATAGGCACAGCAAATTTAGTAATTGCTTAACTGCTTCTCCCTGCTTGCTTTTCCTCCTAAAGGGATGGAGTGTTTTAAGGCCCAGATGCGAGTGCAGAAGGGGGAAATCCTGGAGAGGCTCTCAAGTGCCAGGAATTTTTCTAACATGGATGATGAGGAAAATTTCCGTGCAGCAAACAAAGCCATCAGGCAGGTAAGGAAGGCAGTCAAAGCAGGGTGGAACTGTTAAAACAACTATTTACTGACATGTTTTTTATTTTTATCCTGGGCTGTGTCTTTAGCAGGATATTTCATTGCCTTTTGCTTCTTTCAGCCTGGTTTCTGACCATAAGTGGTCACCTTATCCCTTGGTGCCTTTCCTAATGTTCTTTTTGATAACATGGGGGTAACACAGAGCTGTTCATTCCAGGTATTGCATCAGTTGAAGAGGCTGGGCCAGGTCTGGCAGGATGTCTTCCCAGTGAACGTGTACTGCAAGGCCATGGGGACATTACTGAACACAGCCCTGGCAGAGATTGTCACCAGGATTGTTGCCCTTGAGGTACCTGCTGGGGTGGATGTGCCAGCCCTGGGGTGGTGGGGACATTTGTGACCTGGCATTTGTGACCTTGCTGGTCCCAAGGTCAGGTTTCAGGGGAGCAGTTACCTTTCACAGAAATTGTAACTGTGTGTCCACGGGAAATGTTCACAACACCAAGCTTTGATTTCACTTGGCACTCCAAAAGTGAATCTCCCTGCTCCACTGTTAATTAAGTTTTCTCCATTGCAGGATATCTCTGCAGAAGATGCAGACAGGTTGTACTCACTCTGTAGGATCATGGTGGAGGAGGGACCCCAAGTCTTCACCCCCCTACCTGAAGAAGAGAAAAACAAGAAGTACCAAGAGGAAGTTCCAGTCTACGTGGAGAAGTGGATGACATTCAAAGAGCTGATGATCATCCTGCAAGCCAACCTCCAGGAAATTGTGGATCAGTAGGTGTCTTCCTTTCTCCCTTCTCAGTTGGTTCTCAGGAGCAGGGAAGTGCCTGACAGCAGCAGGGGCTGTCCTGAGGAAAGGCAGTCACTGCTCCTGAGGATCAGGCAGCTGCTTCTGGGACTGCTGTTGGTGTTCACAGTCCATTTCAAGCTTGCCCATAATTTCCTGCAGCAGAAGGAAAAGGCAAAATGGTAAAAAACCAGGTTCTGTGGGAGAGCCAAGCACAGAGTGTTGGTGCATCCCCTTGGCTTCTCCAAGTTCAGGGGTGTCTCACAGGGAGCAGCCTGGCTGGCATTCCACCTGAGTGCCCTCTGCTTTTTAGGATGATGTTTCTTGCTGCTTTTTACCTTGCAAGGGGGATTCATCTGAACTATCCCTGAGGATTTGCATAATCACTTCTGTTACCTTGGCTGGCAGGAGCTGGGCAGTCCCTGTTCACAGCTGCCTCACACAGAGCTCTGAAGGGCAAGAAAACACCCAGTTCTCAGCAGGTTAAACCAGAGAGGCACCAGCCACAGGGAGGGCACAGAGGGAAGGCAGCTCCTTCCCTGGGCCCCTGGAACTGGGTTACTCACCAGAGGTTCCCAACTCCACTTCCACCTGGGCATAAACCACTTTCTTGTGTTCTTAAGGAATGGGAATTTTGCAGACGGGCTTTAGGCGTATTTAGGAGAAAGAAAAGGTACTGAGTGCAGGAATCACCTCACAACCTGGTGCTCTGTACCTGGCTAAACAGTTCTGGGCTGGGGCTGCACACATACCTGGTTAGTGACCACTGGAACAGCTCCTCAGAGGCTTGTCTTCATGTGCCATTCCCGGGCAGTTTGGTTAAATAAAGCTCTTTCTCTCCCCTGCAGGTGGGCAGATGGGAAGGGCCCTCTGGCAGCCGAATTCTCAGCAGCTGAAGTGAAGAGTCTGATCCGAGCCCTGTTCCAGAACACAGAAAGGAGAGCAGCAGCACTGGCCAAAATCAAGTAACCCCACGTTTCCACCTGCACTTTGCATCTTCTGATAAAGCAAGACCAAACTGAGACTTTCAGATATTTTTTTGATTTGACCTTTTTTATTTGTACTGGTGTAAAAAAAATGTTAGAATTGGGTAAGTGATTCCTGGAGCTTGGCTGGGGGAGAAGGAACATTTCCTGGCTCAGTGTTTGAGGGGCTGGGAGTGTGGGACCAGGAGCTCACAGTGAGGAACACACAGACACTGACTGCCAGACACCTCCTGCCACGCTCCCCACAGCAGTTCTGCCCACTTCCAGGTTTTCCTTCAGGAGCTGCTGGGTGTCCTGGAGAAGGAGAGATGCTTTTGCTGATGTTTGCTAGTTCCCATTCTCTAGGATTTCATCTTCCTGTTCAGGCCAGCATAGGAAAATAAATCAAACCTTGTATCCAGCATCTCTGTGAGCACAGGCACTGCTGCCAGACGAGCCTCCCATGTGAGGTGCTGTGGAACCTCATCTCAGACTGGCCTCAGGGTCCTGCAGAGAGGTTTTATTGCTCAGTAGTGACTCTCATCTATGCAGTTCTACATCAGGGGGCCTGGAGCCCCTCTCTGTCTTACCTCTTCTGTCCCTGCAAGTTCCACATGAAACCCACACACTGAGAGCTTTTGCCATCCTCCCAGGAATGCTGAAGTGCCAAACTTAGCTCTTTCCCACCTCAGGTTCTTCTGAGGGACAGACCTCAAGAGAGCAACAATTTAGGGGGGATTTGGGGAAAGGAGATCCTGTGCAGAGTGAACTGGTGATCAAGTCACAGGGTTTTGCACAAGTAGCAAAATTCTCTTATTTCTCATGGAAAATATCTTAAAACTGACTTAGAATTTTTCAGTCTCGCTTTACCAGCTGTAGAAGCCAGTTCAGCTCCTTCCTTTGTGTTTTTGTTGGCTGTGAACTGGGTAGCTCTGGTGTCTTTCTGGTATTATATTTTCTGTCCTTTAAGAACAGCGATAGAAGTGTAAACCAATGCAAAAAGGGAATGAAAGGTGCACTTGTAGCATTGTCTTTTTCAGTCACAAAAGGCTGTGGTTTAGATTTTGAGAAATTTCTCACCCAATTTAATTGAAAAACTCACTGAGAGCATTCACTTAAATTAGCCCAGAGGCCAAGATGCTGCACACGTGGAGCAAAGTTCTACCTGCCCTGTCGTGCTCACTAAAGTTTCATTCACAGAACTTGGTGTTTTTAATCTGTTATCTCCTGTTGTATCCTTTTCATTTGCACTTTTGTCCAACTTCTGTTCCCATTGCAAGCATTTTTGCAGGGCCTGAGGCCCTGACTTGTGTCACCCAAGTCCTTGCAGAACCCTTCTGCTCTGGTTTAACTGATGTGGGGAAAGGGAAGTCCAGTCTAATGGGCAGTTAGACTGAGCCCAGCACATGGGAATGCAGCAGAGAAGGGAGATACTGAAGCAGAATCTGCCACTCAAAACTCAGCTGTTTCTTTTCTTCCCCTCCAAGTGATTCACCCAAAGGCTGAGAGTGTTGCCCATACACTGACATCTCACAGGACCCCTTGTCCCTTTACACACAGCAATCCAAAAAAACCACCTATTTTGAAAAGCACCACTTCTCCCATGTTTATTGTTCACAGAAATGTAATTTGCTATTTTCTTTAATAAACTATTTATACTGAGCACGTTTGGGGTTCCGTTCAGGTTACAGTGACAGGATGAATCAGTCCCTCCTTGCCTGATTTCTAGTAGATCTAATAAATAAAAAGAAAACAGAAAGAGGAATCAGTGCTATAGAAGAGGTCGTCCCAGAGGCTCATGGGTCAAGGGGAGGGACACAAAGAGTTCAGTGGGATGCTGGCACTGGGGTTTGTCTGGGGAAGATGCAGGGCTGTAGGGCGGGCTGGGCACACACCAGGGCTTACCTGAGTGACCTGGTGAATCCAGGGCAGGAGCTGGGCCACGTTGGTGTAGACCCCGGGGTGGTTGGGCTCAGCACAGCCCTGGCCCCAGCTCACGATCCCCACCAGGCGCCACGTGGATCCATCCCAGCACACGAGGGGGCCCCCACTGTCCCCCTGGGGGCAGAGCCAGGGCTGAGGGAGCTGCTCTGCCCCCCGGGCAGGTCAGGCAGGTCACAGAATCCCAGGCTGGTTTGAGTGGGAAGGGACCTTAAAGTTCATCCAGACCCACCCCTGCCATGGGCAGGGACACCTTCCACTAGCCCAGGTTGCTCCAAGCCCCGTCCAATTGGACAAATTGGACACTCCCGGGGGTGGGACATCCAAAATCGGGCAGCCTGCCTCCCCAGGGACCTCGCCAGGCTGCTGTGTCCCAGCTGGCCGTGTTCCCTCAGCCACACAGGAGGCTGGCAGGTGGATCCCTGCACCCCCCAGCATTCCCACTGCTCCCAGCGTTACCTGGCACGCGTCCACCTGCCCGCGGGGGTACCCAGCACACAACATCCTGGCAGTGAGCTCCCCCGGGTACATGCACGAGCTGTTGCACCTCCGGGTCCCGATCAGGGGCACCAGGGCCTCCTTCAGCGTCCCGGCCACCTGCGCTGGGATGGGCAAAGAGGGGCCAAGAGGGACAAACAAGGTCTGCAGGGAGCAGCAGGGGACAGCAGGGCACTAGCTGGGGAAGGCAGAGATGGGGAATTGGGATTACTTCGTGGGGCTGGTACAGCCAGGCTCACAGGAGCTGTGGGTGTGGGGTGCAGGCTGCTGGAGCAGGGGTGGGACGAGGGCAGGGGGTGCATTTGGAAGCTCACATGTGGAATGGAAGGGGCTGGATGGGGCAGTGGGGAGCAGAGGGAAAGTCTAGGGCAGTGCTGGGGGACAGGGACAGGGTGGGAGCTCACCTTGGTCAGGGGTGGTGTAGCCCCAGCCAGAGACCCAGCACTGTGTGCCCTGGAGCAGGTCCTGGTGGGAGGGTGGCAGGCACACGGCTCGGATGGCAGCTGGGGAGAAGGGGACAGGGACAGTGCCAGGGCAGTGGGGACAGCTCTGCCAGGAGCAGCCAGGGAAGGGCTGCGGAGCCCTCC